CTGCCCAGACATCCAGGGGAAGGAGGGAGCACTGCTTTTGCTGTTGTAGGCAGCAAGAGTGTGGGAAGAGGACAGGCCGAGCATGCCACAGACCAAGCCCCCTCCCCTTTCTACTTGCCCCTGTTTTTCAGTCCCTTGCCTCTCCTCAGTGCCGATGTTGGTCAGATTGCTTTAAGAAAGCCAGGGAAAATCTCACTTGATGTGTCTGGCTCAGATCCCTAGGGCTTCACATCCCTCCGTGCCCTGGTTATCGTGAAGTGACCAGCCAGCTACCTCATCCTCCTGGGGGACAACAGTGAGACTGAGCCCAGCCACACTGCCAGGACAGTGGGGGCAGTGCCCCTCTAATGGAGGCTGTTCTTACACTGATACGGGGCTGAGTGTGGGTTCAGACTCTGGCAGAGGGAAGATGGAGGCTTTGGGTAGTAGCAGACATGCTTACCCACCCGAGCATAGTCGTGACTCCTAACCAATTGCCTTTATCAGCCCTGCTATGGGAAAGGGGTGCCAGGATACCTGTGCTATGGAGAAGTGTGGGTTGTGGCAGTAGATGGTCTTCCCTGGGGCATGCAAGAGGAAAATGGAGTCTGTGGCTCTGGCAGCCTCCATGGGGCGTGAGGCCAGGTAGAGGGGGCTGAGACCACTGATCCTGGGGTCATCAGGAAAAGATGGGCAACCAGCACCAGAGTCAAGTCCTCTCTGTGTCTTCCTCACCCCTGCGATTAAAGCACTGCTAGTGCCATGCACTTTTGAAGCTCTGAGCAAAGATTAACTTGCTGATCTTCCTGGGTCCCCTGTGAGGTGTTATTTCAGGCTCTAAACCAGTTGCCTCTGTCTTTTATGAGGACAAGAGTGAAGGGGGAGGAAAGAAAACAAAAAGATTTTAACCTGTAGTCACTAAGTAGAGCAAAGTCCCAGCTCTGCCCTGGAGCAATGCAGCTCTCCTCCCAGGGTAGGGGGAACTGGTGTAACACATGGCTACAGATGAAAGCTCCCAAATGACATCCACTCCAGGGGATGCAACCTGAGCATCCCCACACAGCCAGCCCCCTGGGAGGGTGCTTGCCCTGCAGGCAAACAAAGTAGGAGTCTTGTTGAGGTGATGAGAAGACAAGTCCCAAAGCAAGCTCCCATCCACCCTGGCATGGATTTGGATTTGAGTTTGTATCTCTGCAGGGAAAAAAGTAGCACTTGAGTACCCAAGGAAAACAGTCTGTGTGAGACACGCTGATTCAGGGCTTGACAACTCCTTCTGCCCCTGCTGGCACTAAGAACCATCCCCAGCCCTATGGCCTAGGCTGAGAATGGTTAAGAGCAAGCCCCCCATTTTGGGTAGTCAGGATGTGCTCCCAGCTTGGTGCTTGCTAGTACCCCCAAATAAACAGAGATCCCCCAGCACCTCCCTGGGCCATCAGCATTGTCAGCTGGAGGGAAAGAAAGGCAAAAGAAGGTTACTGGGAGGCAGGTTGGTGCTGCCCAGCTCTCCAAGCAGCGAGCGCCACTGCCTCACCTGTGCCCAGGCTTCTTCCAAGCCCTCTCTTTATCTGTCTTGTCTTCCCTGAGGCTTTCAAAATCCAGCTTCAACTTGTTCTGGATACGGGTGAGAAGCGGGGCAGAAGGCTCTAAGGCAAACATAAATGACCCCCCCTCTCCGCTGCCCTGCACACCCCAGCCCACCTTCTTTGTACCTCTGGCAGGGTGGCTGCCTGCTCAGAGGAATGAGTCACGGGTTAGGTAACGGGCAGAATGCAATTAGCAGCCCTGGGCACCAATTACCAGCTGTAACAGCCTTGTGCAAGACCCTGTAACGAGTCACCGAGAGCAAGATTTCACCCTCCAGGGAGGTGATCAGCAAGGCAATGTGTCTGACACTCTGGGAAGTCACCAGCCCTTTCCATGCTGCCTCCCTGCCCTGGCAGAGCTGCGGCATATGGGGTCTCTGCGCTCGCCCGATGATGGGTCAGCCAGCCCCACCCTGGGGCACAACTGGGCACTGAATGGCCCCCTCATCCCTGGCACCCCAGAAGAAGGAGGTGTCTCACAGTGCAAGAAGCAGGCTGTGCTCACCTCTAGCATCCAGTATGTTCTGTTTTGTACATGGTTGGGTCTGACCTGCTCAGCTCCCTGGCACCATGGTACAGGGTAGCTTTGAATCATATTTTTTATGTCTTTTGGGGACATCACTAAGGATCCTCTGCCTATGTCCCCCTTGCCCTTGCAGATGATCTCCTGGGCCAGGGCTGGGAGGTGCTGCAGGATGCCTGGGAGCTGTGGAAGCTGCCTTTACAGCTGCCTGGGGCTGCTGACATGTGGCTGAAACACTCAGAGAGGTTAATTTCTGGTTCAGGAGCAGTGGCTAGCCATGGGAGCAATCCCAGTATTTAGTGCAGTGGATCAGTCATACCAGCTTCGCATCCCTGCAGTAATGTAAGGCCTGAAGGTGAATGACTTCCCTCCCCCCCCCTCCCCCGCCCCAAATCAGTGTAAGAAAGCATCGCTATTCAAAGTGATCTAAAAATAAAACCTGCAGGGACCCTCCAAAGGGGTATGGGAGATGCTCTGGAGATGTTCTTGCTTCAGGGGAAGGCTAGGAGTCTCAGAGACTCGGAGAAATCATGGGAGGAGGGAGAAGAAGTGGATTCAGTGGTTTCTTCCTTACAAAAGAAAAAAAGTTGTAGCCAGGGACAGGGCTGGGGTGAAAGTGTGTATGAAGCCTGGGGAAACTGAGCATGCAGTTTTAGCCTTGCAGGGAGGCCTTCCCTGTGTGCCTGGAAAGAGTCTGTGTCTGAACACATGGTGGGAATGTAGAACAGAGGGACACTGATCCCTGTCCTAACCCCTCCTTTTCTAAGGTCCCATGATCTGACGTGTGCATGGGGGGGGCCCATGGTGCCATGTTTCCCCCACATTTCCCCTGGGTCCCCATCTTATTACTTTTTTTTTTTTTTTTTGGTATGCTGAGATTGGATGCCCACAGCTTGCAGGTCCCTGAGGAGGTGCTCTGATTTCGACAGCTTATGTAGAACACTACTATCCTGCTGTCCCAATACTTGCTGCACAGGGAAGCTGGGGTGGGGGTGTGGGTATCATCACCCTCCTGGGCTGGTTGCATCTCTGAACCCCCTGACTGCTCTGTAAAGTGGCCTAGAGGTAGTGTGAAGGGGACCTTCATGGTCATCCACCCCGTATCCAACTGAACCCGTGACAGCATGCAGCAATTTGTGGTGCTGACCCCAAAAATTCCTGTCTGCGGTGGTCTTTGTCTTGGGAAGGGCTCTCACGCCTTGGGAGGGGCTCTGGTATCCCTGTCCCTGGGGAAAGCCTTCTCTGTGTAGGACTTTCTCAGCTATGCTCAGCATGTTCTGTGTCATGGCCCCAGACTGCCCTCCTGGCCTCATTGGCAGCCAGAGGACTAGGGTGGATGTGGCACAGGGGAGATGTACAGCCGTGCCCAATGGTGGGGGGTGGGGTGGAAGGAGCTGGAGGTGCCATTTTATTGCTGTGCCTACGGGACTCTCTGGGGTTCTCCATAGAGGGGGAGAACACCCCTCTTCCTTGCCTGAGGAAGGGGAAAAGGAAGCATCACCTTGGACAGCACAAGAGCCACAAGGAACAAGTTGCTGAGCTCAGCCCTGCTGCAGGGGGCAAGGACCTGGCTGGGATATAAACTCAGCAGTGATGCTGAGACACGGACATTGGAAGGGAGGCAGCAGGCCATCCCTCACGCTCTCTTGTGCTGGTGTATATGTTCCTGTGAGTGTCACTGGGCAGCAGACTGTCCTTGGGCATCCCCAGTGGGGATGTGAGGTGAGGCAGGGGGGTGTGCATGGCTGAAGACAGAGGGAAAAGGACCTTGAAGAGTAGAGAGGGTCTGGGGAGATGGGGGTCAGAAGTGGGGGTCA